GTATTGTTTATTTCTGCCCTGATCTTTATTATTTCTCTTCTTCTGCTGGGTTTGGGGTGCTCTTCCTGCTTTACTTCTAGTTCCTTCAGGTGCGCTGTTAGATTTTGTATTTGTGCTTTTTCTAGTTTCTTGAAATAGGCCTGGATTGCAATGTATTTTCCTCTTAGTACCACCTTTGCTGCATCCCAACGAGTTTGGATTGTTGTATTTTCATTTGCATTTGTTTATATATATATATATATATATATATTAATGTTTTATTTATTTCTGAGAGAGAGAGAGAGAGAGAGACAGCGTGAGCAGGGGAGGGTCAGAGAGAGAGGGAGTCACAGACTGAAACAGGCTCCAGGCTCTGAGCTGGCAGTCAGCACAGAGCCCGACGCGGGGCCGGAACCCACGAACCGCGAGATCATGACCTAAGCGAAAGTCGGACGCTTAACCGACTAAGCCACCCTTGCGCCCCTGTTTTATATATTTTTAAATTTCTTCCCTAATTCCTTGATTGGCCCATGGATTCATTAGTAGGGTGTTCTTTAATCTCCATGTTCTTGGAGGTTTTCCAGTCTTTTTCCTGTGATTGATTTCAAGTTTTGTATCATTGTAATCTGAAAGCGTGCATGGTATGATCTCAATTCTTTTACGTTTATTGAGGGCTGCTTTATGACCCAGAATGTGATCTGTCTTTTGAGAATGTACCATGTGCACTCGAGAAGAAAGTGAATTCCATAGCCTCAGGATGTAGAGTTATAAATATATCTGTCAAATCCATCTGGTCCAATGTGTCATTCAGGTCCATTGTTTCTTTAGTGATTTTCTGTCTAGGTGATTTATCCATTGTTATAAGTGGAGTATCAAAGTCCCCTGCAATGAGTACATTCTTATCAGTAAGATTGTTTATATATATGATTAATTGTTTTATGTATTTGGGTGCCTCAGAATTCTGTGTTGACATTTATAATTGTTAGCTGTTCCTGATGGATCGACCCTGTAATTATTATATAATGTGCACCTTCATCTCTTGTTATTGCCTTTACTTTAAAATACAGGTTGTCCGATATAAGTATGGCTACTCCAGCTTCCTTTTGACTTCCAGTAGCATAATAGATATTTCTCCATCCCCTCACTTTCAATCTAAAGGTGTCTCAGGTCTAAAATGAGTTTCTTGTAGACAGCAAATAGATGGATTTTTTTTTTAATTTATTCTGCTATCCTATGTCTTTTGATTAGAGCATTTAATCAATTTACATTCAGTGTTATTATTGAAAACTATGGGTTTAGAGTCATTGTGTTCTCTATTGGATTCATGCTTGTAGTGGTGTCTTTGGTACTTTGTGTTCCTTGCAACAATTCCCTCATAGAGTGTCCCTCTTGGGATTTCTTGTAGGGCTGGTTTAGTGGTGATGCATTCCTTCGATTTTTGTTTGTTTGGGAAAACCTTTATCTCTCCTTCTATTCTGAATGACAGGCTTTCTGGATAAAGGATTCTTGACTGCATATTTTTCCTTTTCATCACATTGAAGATTTCCTGCCATTATTTTCTGGCCTGCCAAGTTTCAGTAGATAGGTCTGCAACCACTCTGAAAGGTCTCCCTTTGTATGTTAGGGACATTTTATCCCTAGCTGCTTTCAAAATTCTCTTTGTCCTTATATTTTGCAAGTTTCACTATGATATGTTGTACAGAAGATCGATTCAAGTTACATCTGAGGGCAGTTCTCTGTGTGTCTTGGATTTCAATGTCTGTTTCCTTCCCCAGATTGGGGAAGTCCTCAGCTATAATTTGCTTAAGTACCCATTCAGCGCCTTTCTCTTTCCTTCGTCTGGAATTTCTGTGATACAGATATTGTGTCATTTGATTGTAACTCTGTTCTCGGATTCTCCTCTCGTGCTCCTGGATGAATTTATCTCTTTTTTTCTTGGCTTCCTCTGTTTCTGTAATTGTGTCTTCTAATTCACCTGTTCTTCTCTCTTCCTCTTCAATCCATGCAGTGGCCGCCCCTGTCTTATTATGCACCTCATTTATAGCATTTTTTAATTATCTACAACTATTAAAGTCCATAGTCTTTGTAGCAATAGTTTCTCTGAAGTCTTCCATGCCTTTTTCAAGCCCAGTGATTAATTTTATGACTGTTGTTCTAAATTCTTGTTCAGTAATGTTGCTTATACCTGTTTTGACCAGTTCTTTAGCTGTCATTTCTTCCTGAAATTTCTTTAGAGGAGAGTTCTTCCATTTCGTCATTTTGGCTAGCTCTGGCTCTTGTAAGTTTTAAAGGCTTGTTATGTGCTCTGCCCCTGAGAGTACTGCTATATTATAGGAGGCTCATTGACTGTCCAGTGCCTGTCCATTCAGGAAGTGTTCTTTTAATGGTATCTCTTGGTCTCTCTTGTTGAGACTTTGGTTATTTTATTTTCTTATTCGTAGTGATATTTGGGACTCTCAATCATGTGTACTTTGGCTTATTTCTTGAGGTAACCCTGGAAAGGAAAACAGGCAGACAAACAGGGAACAAAAGGACACAATCGCACAAATAAAACAAACAAACAACAAACTGAAAGGGAAAAAAAAACGAAGATAATATTACCCAGAGAAACTATATAATCTGATTGTTTCTGATAGAGATAAAGGAAGGTAACGATGGAGATAGAACATTCATCAAGCAAATAGATTATACATGCCTGTTTTAAACAAACCTATAACCAGAATACCCGGTCCAGAGGAGGGGTGAGGTAAGGACGAGCTAAGGGAGAATATATCTGAATAGTAAGAATTGATCTAGAGTCAATCATGGCAATGCATCAGTGTTAATCTTGGGTGAGGGGCTGTTTATCTATCCAGGCTCTGGTAACCAAACAGCTACGCAGCGCACATGGGTGTGGTTTGGTGTTGGTGGGTCTTGCTTCCACTATGCATCCTTTGGGCCCGCGTTGGTGGTTGTGGGGAGAAAAATGGCGACCCCCCCCAGTCCCCTCTCATACCAGGAATTACAAAACACTCTTTTGGGTCCGATCTCATTGTGTTGCAGGCACAGCCAAGGTGAGCCATGTTTTATGTCCTGTGCCCAGCCTCATTTCCAGATTTTACTCCATTTGCATTAATAATACCAGCTGAAATATAATCCTGGAAGCCTGGGCACTTCCTACTGGGGGATCCAGTAGGGGACCATCTCCTCTTGAATCTGACTGTGACTGAAATCCGCCAGCACCGCCCCAAAGAAAGCTCCACAGCTAGAGACAAGATCTCTCTCCGAAAGCCTTGCAGCTAGAGATGGGATGATATGATCCCTCTCTGTCCTGGGCCATGCTTTTTTTACCCTCCCCTTCCAGGGACTGTTCTAACATTCCCCAGCCGCTCTTCTTCTTTTTGTCTCTCTGCAGAGGAGTCTCCCTCCCCTCCATTCCTCCATGTCCGAGCCTGTTTCTGTCTTCCCCAATTCTCACTCATACACCTATGAGGCTGTCTTTTTAGTGGACTCCGTCTCTTTTCCTCCCAGACTCTTATGGTTCAGAGTCTTTTGGCTTCAGGCCTTTGTTTGAAAGATGCAGGTGGGAAGTACAGAACTCCCTACTTCTCCATCTTGCCGCAGACCCATTATGTCTTCATTTTACAGGCCAAGTAATTGAGGCCCAGGCTGGCTAAGTAATTTGCCAAGTGTCACCCAGGTAGTGAGCTGGGATTTGGATATCTTGCTAGTTTAATTTTAAATATTATTAATGAAGTATATCTAGGAATTTTTATAGCACTACTGAAATTATCTACAATATTTGGTAATCATTCCTGTCCTATGTGAAATCAAAAATTCACAGCTAAAGATGCTTTTAGCCAATTAGTTTCATTAAATAACTTGAGGTTGATCCTAAATATCAGGAGAAATCTGTATATTTCTAGTAAGTTCTCTGCCTATGGGTCTTCTCTATCTGGGGTTGCAATGGTACAGTACAATTACAGGGGTGCCTGGGTATTGATTCTCTTGGTCCTCCATGCAGTCGGCAGGCCCCTGATGTCTTGAACTCTTGCACCAGTTAACTCTGATATCTTAAAGTGCAGATGGACATCCTTATTATTTCTCCATAGATTGTACAAACTGGAAGGAAACACTCATATTCCACATAGGCAGTTATCAGAAAGCATTGCAAGGAGATAGGCCCATGGAATATTCCCATGTGCAAAGTCTGAATTACATGTTAGTATTCTTTGTCATTATATTCTCTGGACACCTCAATTTATACTGAAGTAGAAAAGCTAATAATATCTTTATATTTACCAGGACTTACTTTTCCTTTCCTCCCCTCCCCTCCCCTTCCATCGACTCCCCTCTCCTCTCCTTCCTTGTCCTCTTCTCTCCTCTCCTCTTATTTCATTGCTTAACCAGTAGTCATAAAAAGGTATAATTGCCATTTTAGCTGAGTTTTGAGTTCTAATATTATAAAATAGTCCCTTGGGTGAAGTGATCTGTCACATTCAGAATATACAGTGATTTTTAAAAATAGCCTATATCGTTAATATATATTGAAATGTCATCAAGTTATGGCCATGTAAATAAGAATATCACTCATAAAATGTCTGTATGTGAAAGAAAGTTAATGAGGACATTACAGAATTTATCAAAGAAGAAGAGATCTGTGAGATGTGCTGTGGTCAGAGAAGGTTCCAAGAGCAGAAGGTCTATCAGTGGTGATTTCTTTTGAGTTAACACAATTTAGTTGTGCCTATGGGTTTCAAGACATAAACTCAGATAATAGTTTTCTTAATAAACTGGCATATAGACTACTTGGATTTGGATGAGGGAGGGAAGAGGAGGGGAGGAAGGGAACACTCTCAAGAGCAGAACATCTGCTCAGAGTGCCTGTGATGATGGTACTAATGGACAGTGGTAGAATAGGTGGGCTCTGCTAGGTGTGGTCTTGCTTACCTGAGATATTCTCTTTGTAGCCCAAGATTCTCTTATGTGTTGTGAGATTAATGCATCCAATGAATATTTACCATTTGTTTTCTTTCCTACAGAAACACATTTGGAAACTTTTTAAAACTTATGGAGGTCCTGGCTCTTCAATGCAGCCATTTTCTAAGGAGAAGTGATATCATGGATTCCTTAAAGAAAGAGAACTTTGACCTAGTGATAGTTGAAAATTTTGACTACTGTCCTTTCATCATTGCTGAAAATCTTGGAAAACCATTTGTGTCCATTCTCTCTTCCTTGTTTGGTGCTATAGATTTTGGACTACCAAGCCCTCTGTCTTATGTGCCAGTATTTAATTCTTTGCTAACCGACCACATGGACTTCTGGGGCAGAGTGAAAAATGTTCTGATGTTCTTTGATTTTACCATGAAGCAGAGGCAAGTCCAGTCTACATATGAAAACACCATCAAGCAACATTTTCCAGAAGGCTCTAGGCTGGTTTTGTCTCATCTTCTGGAGAAAGCAGAGCTGTGGTTTGTTAACTGTGACTTTGCCCTTGAATTTGCTAGGCCGTTGCTTCCCAATACTGTGTATGTTGGAGGCTTAATGGCCAGACCTGTTGAACCAGTACCACAAGTAAGTGAAAGTGTAGCTCTCTATATGGGCTTCATGCAGAGTTCTCTAGTGCAGTGTTAGTGACTACCTTGCCAGTGGAATCCTGGGAACGAAGTAGGGTGAGGCAAGTGAGGCACCTATGACATGCTTTTTAAAGGAGTACTAGTTTTGAGGTCCATACAATGATAGTTTTATGACTTGCACAGCCCTGAGATTGAGAGCCTCCTTAAATAGTACACCCAGGGTCCTCTTTAGTCCTGGCTTTGGTAGGATAAGCTCTTTATTTTATGCTGTGTTATATTATGTTATGTTGTTTTTAGTAATCTGTACACACAGCATTAGGCTTGAACTCAGACTCCAAGGCCAAGAGTAGCATGTTCTGACTGAGCCAGCCAATTGCCCTAGGAAAGTCTTTTAATAATTTGATATTTTTATGTGCATTGATCATATGTATAGTAGCTAGGTGGCAAGAATCCATTTAATCCAGGGAGAATTGTTAAAGAGTTGAGTTACTCACAGTGAAACACGCAACACTATGAAACAGAATGGTGGGACTGTGTGGGTGGGACTGTGTGGAACTGACAGTGAGAACTGCAGGCATCATTTCCAGCATCCCCAGACTTTCTTCTGAATTGACTGATCTGGGGTTAAGCCTGGGATCTTAAATTGTGAAAGCTGCCTAGTTTGTATGTATAAACTCATAACTACTACAATAGAAGATTTTAAATGGAGGGAAGCTGAGTTGGCTATTGTTGTCTATCAGCACTGGGTTGATACTTTATGGAATTTATCTTGTATAATGCCACCTGGAGGGAAATATGATGATCTCTATTTTATAAATGAAGAGACAAGAGACTCAAGTGGTGTATAAGTGACTTTCTCAGTACCCATCATTGTAGAACTGGGAGAGCCCTGATTTGACCTAGGTCTTCCAGGTACCCAAGTGTCTATACTTCCTCTACTGACCTGGCACTGAGTGAACAGGGAGAGTTTGGGAATGATCCATGGGTTGATGGGCTTTGAGTTGTTGGTGGGGTTTTTAAGGGATGGAGCTATAGAGGAAGGTGTTCCAGGGGGAAAAAACAAGTAGTTCAAAGTATTAAAGTAAAAATAAAACAGGCATGACTCTGGGTTCCCTTGGTGACACTAGCTAGACTGGATCAGAAGATTCAATTGTGTAAATACAGCCAGGCCAGATTATGGGAGACTTTACTTCATAGGAGAGTAGGTGAGGCCTTGGTTATAGGGCAAGGGGAGGGAGTTGTTAAGCAAGAGCATAATGAGAGTAAGAGCTGCAGTAGCTGTGATTTAACAGAGGCTTTTTCCAAAAATGTTTCTCTATATTTTCTAGTTTTTAGATAATGGATTTATATGGCTTTGGTAATTAAAAAGAATGACAAAGTGTTGTCAAAGTGGTCCTTTTGAGATAAGGTAAATCATCCAGTGTTATGCTGGATGGAGTCAATCCAGGGAGGGGGGTCTAGAAGCTGGGGTAGCAGGGCTACAGAAGTCCAGAGTCGGGGTCTGAAGAAACACTCGAAGCAAGAGCTGACAAAACTGTTAAAACCAAGATTATAACATTAAGTCACAACCTTCCTTAAGAATTTCCTGAGGACTTTAAAGAGTAAGCTGACCAGTTTGGGTTAGGCCTGGGCATCATCACTTTTTAAAAGTCTTCTTATGTGGATATAATTCGCAGTCATGTGGTTGAGCCACTGAGGTAAGAGATTATTTACAAAGATCAGTTAATAAGAATATCACAAAGTATCAGAGTGAAGCACTCTACATGGTGCATTGAGCCAGTGGTCAAGAGCCTTCCTCCATTTCTTCCACTTCTTCTTGTGCTAGATGCCTTCTTCTGTTTCTGCAATCTAGCCTCACATGTTACACCTCCCTCTGCTAGACCCTGACACCCCACTAGTATTTTTCCTTACACTACCATTTTCTGGTGGCCTTGGGAAATTCTCAAGTGACCATGTCTCCATTGACTTATGATGAGCAGCGGGTCTAGCATGGTGCTGACACTAACATCAAGATGTTAAAGAAGAAAGATATTCCCATACAATGGGTATGAGCATCATGCAGAGGGTACTGAGCTGTCCCAGGGACTATGAGATCTAGGAATGACAGGAAGGTGTGTTCAGGAAGTAAATGGCTTTCATTTCATGACTTTCTATGTTTTCATTAACAACTATGTCCACTTCCTTCTCTTTTCTTACCTCTCTCCAGGAATTTGAGAATTTCATTGCCAAGTTTGGAGACTCTGGTTTTGTCCTTGTGGGCCTGGGCTCCATGGTGAGCACCTTTCAAACCCAGGAACTCCTCAGGGAGATGAACAGTGCCTTTGCTCATCTTTCTCAAGGAGTCATATGGAAGTATAAGCCATCTCACTGGCCCAAAGACATCAATTTGGCAGCAAATGTGAAACTCGTGGACTGGCTTCCTCAGAATGACCTCCTGGGTAAGGACTGCCCAGATCTGCTTCACCCTTCTCATTTACATATTTTTAGAGCTCATCAGTCTCTGACCTCTAGTTGAGCTATCCCATTTGCACTAGAAGGAGCTGCTAACACCTAAAATTAAGTCTCCAGGAGGCAGGAATGGAATAGCCATCTGGAGTTCTTAGAGAATCAAGCCCTCCTTCCAATGAGATAAGGTTCCCAAATAGCCATCTCTCCTTTATTCTTTCTATCCCAGGTGAGACACTGGTAGATATCAAAGATATCTCGTCCTACTGCATTAGGTTTTACACAGGGCCACCCAAATACAATCCAAAACGACCTATAGATTCTAGACAGCACATACCAGAGGATGTTGCCACAGTATTTAATGGCTTCATGAATACCTGTTCATCTACATGAACTTACATATATCATTCCACCCTCCCCCACATCTTTCTTAGCTATTAAGGTGTGAGAAACTCATACTTTCACAACTTTAATACAAATAATATCTTTAGAATGTGCCAAAATGAACACCTCATAGCAAGTTATTTGGTCTATTTTGTTCTGGTACCAGAGAGTTCCCTCACCCCCACCCCTGTAGATTTTCTCTGCCCTGTGGTGTTTCTTTCAAACCCTTTACTTCCATAGCCACTGACTGAATCAGAGGCTCATGACCTAGGTAATGACTCAAAATACCCTGGAGAATTGAAGAAATGGATCCCCACCTCAGCTTCTGAAAATTATTTAAGTCTGAAGCAGGGCACATGAAGCTCTTTTCATAGAAAAGATAGGAAATTCTGATGCACATCCCAGTTAGGTGACACAGGCTGAGGGGAACTTTTCTTTTCAACAGTTATCTTAGTTAGCTCTAAATAAGGTGGGCTAGAAATGCTGGAGATGGAGATACTTAAGCATAGAGTCTTGTCTCTGGTTTCAAGGGGCTACTCATGTGTTTGAGGAGAAAATGCATACAGTGTCAATTTTATGATTGCCAAATAGATGATGATGTCAATGAATGTGTCAGGATTTAGAGAAGAGGGAAATAAGTTGAAGGTGAGAAAAGAGTGCTCAAGACCAAGAGAGAGACAGAGACACAATGAAACAACAGATAAGAAAAGAAAGGAAGGCATTGAGATGACAGAAAGATGTATGTATGTATGTATGTATGTATGTATGTATGTATATGTATGTATGTATTGATGGATGGATGATTGTGAATGAGTGGATGGATGGACAGGGTTATATGTTTTGCTTAGCATTATTGTCTAGAGAGTTCCCTGGGTTCTGAGTCTTAGCTGGCTTCTGTCCAGGGTAAAGAAATTCTATACAAGGGCAAGGGTTGTATGTTAGTACATGCACATAGATACTTCACAAGCAAAATATCTTTATAATGGCTCCAGCACACTTTGGAATTCTCTTGGTGTATTCTTGTGCCATTACTGCTTGCACTGGTTTTCTGAAGCTTTTCATTCTGAAAATATTCATTCTGAAATATTGTGCTCTTTTTCTTATTTGAAACAGCTCACCCACGCATCCGTCTTTTTGTCACCCATGGTGGAATGAATAGCATAATGGAGGCCATCCAACATGGTGTGCCCATGGTGGGGATTCCCTTCTTTGGAGACCAGCCAGAAAACCTGAACCGAGTAGTAGCCAAAAAGTTTTGTGTCTCTATCCAGTTAAAGCAGATAAAGGGAGAGACATTGGCTGTGAAGATGAAGCAAGTCATAGAAGACAAGAGGTATGGAGCTCTCTGGGCCTGTGTTCTCTTATGCTGATTGAAGACATCAAACACAGAGTGCACTGTTGCTTTTTTTGCAATAAAAGCTGAAACTTCCAAGACATGGAATAATATGTGTGTGATGCTAACAGCTGACCTGTTTTCTCTGAGAGCACGACCTGACAATTTAGTTTGGATGTTGAGAACAATATGTACCCTAAGGGTTTTAAGGACCCTGTCCTACTAACACAGGACTCTGAGAGGTCTTATGTTAATAGACTGCTTGCAGTAGAATTCCAGCTGATGTAAGAGGTTGACTTTCTGTCCACCTGTATGCTGCACTGTTTCCTGCCTCAGGCCCTTTGTCAGTGCTGCTCCCTAGAACATCCTTCCTTCTCCTCTCAGGACTGGTTCCTTCATGACAGTTGGGCTCATCTCCAATGTCCTGTCCTCAGAGAGGTGGGTTTTATGTGACAGTCCTAAATGCACTCCTCTCCCACTCTCTTCAGTCATAATTCATTTTTCCTTAACACTCGTCAGAATCAGTAACTACCCCATTTCTTTCTGTTTTAATTTATTGTGTGTCCCTCACACTAGAGAGTAGAGAGTAAGCTCCCCTGGAGGGCGAGTGTGTCTCTTGTTTTCCCCTGGGCTCCCAGGGCCTAGCACAGGGCCTGCCACAAAGTAAGTTGGGATGGATTTCTGTTAAGTGAGTGAGTAAAAGGACCCCTGATGTCTTAGGTAAATTCCTATCCAGCACAATGATCTCATGTGAAGAGAAAAATTTATTCTTTCTTCCTTATAACTAAGAAGGCCTGAGTGACTTAAAGTTTCAAGGGTCCAAAGTGACTGAGACCTCAATGTTTAATATTACCTTGAATAAAAGTGACCCATAGGAGGGCTTGTTAGATGAATGAAAACAACCACATAGTGTGTGATTCTCTTATTTAAGTTTATTTATTTATGTTGAGAGAGAGAGAGAGAGAGCACAAGTAAGGTTGGGGCAGAGAGTGAAAACCCCAAGGAGGCTCCACACTGTCTGCACAGAGCCCCATGCAGGCTCGAACACTGGAACAATTAGGTGATAACCTGAGCCAAAATCAAGAGTCAGACGCTTAACTGACCTACCCAGGTGCCCCTATAACTTGTGATTCTTAACCCTAGTAAAGATTTTAAGCTGTGGAGGTCAGGTAACCTCAAACATTTCATTATATTTGGCATCTCTTATGTAGCAAATGTTAACTTTCTGAGAAGTGAGCTTTTGTTTTTTAAAGTTTATTTATTTTGAGAGAAAGATAATCCTAAGCAGGCTCCCAGGTGATTGGTAGAGCCCGATGTGGGGCCACCCATGTGCCTTTGAAGAATGAGCTTGTAAATTTCATTGGCTATTCAAAGACCTATATTTCTAATGGCCATAATCTGCTGGCCTTGTGATGGATATTTTGGCCTGGGCTGGTCCCTACACATTGTGCGTAAGGGCTGGGTATATGCTTTGTGGGGCCCAAAGTAAAATGGTAATATGGATTCCCTTATTATAAAGATTAAGAAAATCAAGACAGTGACAGAAAAAAATAAAGCAAGGATATGACCTGTCTAAATGTGGGGTCCTGGGTATATTTGTAGACTGAAGCCTGTGAAACCAGTACTGGCCAAAATGGTGCTCTGAAGGGGCAGGAAAGTGCAAGTCCTTGTCTTGGACTCCAGTCCCCAGAGTCACATATGTCACCTAACCCAGAATAGGCACAAAGTAGCTGCTTTATATATATATATTTATATACATATAATGCATTTAAGTTTCTGCATATATGTACACATATAAAAAATAACATCATATATATAGTTTGTGATAAGCCTCCTTGGGCAGAGACTAGCCCTGATAGACTTAGTTATTTTTTTTTAAATAGTTTAGCACATTTAGCATAGAGCATGGTCTTTGCATGGAGGCACCAGTATGAACTTTTCGGTTGGACCAGCTAGACTGTGGCAAGGCCAGGCCAACAACTTTTGCTAGAAACTGAGTCTTCTGTGCATGTGGAGGAAAGCTTGTGTGTTTGATACAAGGTCTCTAAGACGTCTGAGGCCACAGCAGTAACTCTCCTCCTCTGTGTCTGCCAACAGGTACAAGTCAGCAGTGGTGGCTGCCAGCATCATCAGGCACTCCCACCCCCTGCCCCCTGCCCAGAGGCTGGTGGGTTGGATTGACCACATCCTCCAGACAGGGGGTGCGGCCCACCTCAAGCCCCATGCCCTGCAGCAGCTGTGGCACGAGCAGTACCTGTTGGATGTGGTTTTGTTCCTGCTGGTGGTCACCCTGGGCACCCTGTGGCTCTGTGGGAAGCTGCTGGGCATTATGGCCAGGTGGCTGTGTGGGGCCAGGAAGCTGAAGAAGGCCTGATGGGGGGCAGCCTTGATGAGTGTTTGGGGAGCCACTGGTTCTAGAAGGCTTCCCCTAGCACAGGACGGCCCTTGTGTCATCCCCATATTGGCCCTTGATGGTGACACATAAATTGCTCTTCACTATTTTCTGCCTCTCTTTAAAAATTCTTCTGAAACACTCTTAGGCATCTTTTTTAAAAAAATTGTGGTAAAATGTACAACACATAAAACTGATAGTTTTAGTCATTAAGGATAGGGTTTAGTGTCATTAGGCATTCTTATTGTGGTGGAAACATTACTATCATCCAGTTCCAGAACTTCTCATCTTCCCTAACTCACACTTCACTGATGAAATAATAACTCCCATACCACCCACATCCCTCCCCCCACCCCCCGCCCTGAAGTTGTGGCAACACTTGTTTTATTCTAATTTCTTTGTCTGTGAATTTGATCTCAGCTTCTTGACTTGCCCCTCATCAATGGACTCCTCACTCAACCCAACCCTTCAGCACACAGCCTCACCTTCCTCTGCACTCTCCACTCCCTGTCTCTAGACACAGCGCCCTGCTTACTTCATCCTATTGTTCCCTGGAAAGGAGGTATGTACAAAACTGCCTCAAAGGCTGAAGAAGCCAAGAGACTGAAGAAAGAGGCCAAAAGGTCCAGCTTGATGAGAAATTGTTCATTAAGGGACATATGGACAGAAGCTTGTCTTGAGCTATCATAAGATAAGTCGATCTCCACAATCTCACTTCCGAATAGACCTGCTTTTATGGCCCTACAGGCTGGGGAATACTGGTGGGGGGCTACCCAAGAGGACTCATATCCTGAGCAGATCAAGGAAGCTTTGCCAGGAGGGTGTACTCACATGTATGGTTAGACAAAATAGTAGAATGAGGAGAGGGGCTGTATTCAAGAGGCTTTAGGTCACAAAGCAGTCATCATGGTGAAATTTCTCAAGATGGCATTAGTCTGGTTCATATACTCACTATCTCAGAAACTTCTCCATCTCTTTCCCTTTTTCTGTTCTTTCACTGTTCATGATGATATAAGATATTGGCCAGTTCTTCCATTTTGGGTCTTCCTCTTGCATCTCCTTCTCATCTCACCTCCAAGCTCAGGAAGCCTGGCCTCTGTCCTTCAGTTAGGGAGGGATGGCTCTTCCAGGACTCTACCTGTGCTCTCTGTCCTGAGTCAGTCTTGAGAGATGATGGTCAGACCTGGAGCCTGTCTTCGGCCACAGCTAATGCTGTGTTTTTCACTTCCCACAATTTCTTTCTTAAGTTTCCCAGTCTTAAAATGGAGTCATAGACCTCCACCTGAGGGTCTGGGGTCTCAGGTCCAGTGACTATATCATTGATGAATACTTTGTTGATTTAAAAAAAAGTCATTAATGCCACTATGTCCATAATACTTGAATAGGTAAGAAATATAATAGATGATAAAATGACTGAATGAAATTTGATGAGGAACAGAATATTTACACAGTTTCAAAATATCTCCCCACAACCCATTTCCTAATTGTAGACTAAAAAACAGTAGCTTTACAGTCTAGATCTTGGTGGACACCACCTTAAACAAGGAATTGTTATCATGTCTAATGCTAGAATCATCTGACATCATGTGTTTCTCACTGTGATTCACTGAGATGGAATCAACACCACCTTAGTGGTAGTTCAACCAAATTCCCTAGTAACCTAGAGTATAATGACAAAACATCAGACAAAACCTACTTGTGATCTATCATATGAAATAAATAACTTGTACTTTTAAGATGTCAATGACAAGAAAAAGAAAGTCTGAGAAACCAGTCCTTGCTAAAGGAGATGATATAGACATGATAACTAAATGCAGTGTGCGATACTGGTTTGGTTCCTACACCAGCAAATTCATATCCCAACATGGGATATTTTGGGACAACTGGAGGTAAAGAAATAAATTTGTAGATAAAGCAATTGCATTAATTTAAAAATGGTGCCTTCTGGAGGAGGGCCCAAGATGGTGGAACAGCATGGAAGTTTATTTTGCGTGTCTGATCCCTGCAATACAGCCAGATCGACACTAAACCATCCTGCACATCTAGAAAACTGATTTGAAGATTAACACAACCATCTACACAACCTGAACCACAGAACTCAGCAGGTATGTGGTGCAGAGAGGTGGGCTGGGGTAGAGAGAAGCTGCGGAGGGCAGGGAGCTGTTTTTGCTTGCAGAGAGAGGACAGAGACAGGGGGAGAGCATGGAAAAACATCCTCCCTCCCCCCTGAAAGCAACTAGAGAGAAAAGAAAGAGTATGCAAGGGACTGAACAAAAAAAAGGAAGAAAGGAGAAAGGAGAGGGTTTAAATTCCATTAAGACTCTATAAACAGGGAGCTGAGTCTGAAACTCGGCAGTCTGAAACTTGGTGATGCTCTGGTGGGAAGGTCAAATTCCTAGGAGCAGAGAGCGAGGTCCGAGGGGTCCAAGAGTCACATGGGAAGAGGTAGTTCCCCTACTGGGAGGACATTTGGTAGATGCTCTGCAGCTACCCCACAGGCCAAGGTCCTGGTGGACCCTGGAGAACAGCCACATTCGCTGGTGCTGGAACAAGGATTTTAAGTGGGAAGCCTGGTGCAAACTGTGTGTTGCAATTTGCCATAATCCCTGAAACACTGCTGCTACATGATCATGTGAACTTTTTCTGGGGTGATCTGACACCCAGCGGCAGTCTCTGGACATCAGCAGCAGCACAGTAATGTGAACGCTCCTGGAAGTGGTCGGGTACCTGGCCATTGCTAAGTGAGACCCTCCCCCAGAGGGTCAGCATGGGTCAAAGGCACAGTCCCTCAGAAGTGAGGGGCTGGGAAACACAGCCACATCTGAGATAAAACTCGAGGGAGGTGCCATCTGGCAACCTGACAGCTTAGTCACAGACAGTGTAAAAGCAGTGAGTGAATGGAAGCTGGAGGCACAAGAGGGGTCAAGATTGCTGGTTTGGATAACAGAGTTCCAATGCTGGAGACTGGGTAGCTAGGTGACACCATTATCACCCCTCCTGCGCATGTACATACAAACCTACAAGCACCACAATAATCCACCCCAGTAAGCTTACCCCAGTAAGCGCTATCTAGTGGAGAACAGAGCCATTACATTAAGCCCTGCCCAACTGGGCCAACCTTGTTCTTCAGGAACACCGCAAATCTCTCTGCTTGCTTAGTTTACAGATATAAAGAAGTCATAGTTTGATTTCAAAGGGAAACTGATGTAATTTCAGTCATATTTCAGTCTGTTCACTGGTCTGTAGCCTTCAGTTTTGTTTCTTTTTCTTTTCTTATTCTTGAATATAGAAAGAGAAAACATTTATTTTTATTTTCAATTTTTATGAAAAATATTTTTCTTTAATTTTTTTCCTACTGTATTTTTTAGTTTTCTGTAAAATTTTCAAATTCCATTTTTTTAGTTCCATCACTTCATTTTATTCTATTTCATAAATTTTTATTTATTCTATTTCATAAAAGTTTATGAAATTTTTTTCAAATTTTCAAATATTTTCCTTTTTATTCTTTTCTTACCTTTCCCTTTTCTCTCTAATATATCAAGCTCCTTCAAAAACCAGACCAACACACACCTAGGATCTAGCATCATTTATTTGAAATTTTTATGTTGTTTTTAATTTTAATTTTTTTATCTTATTAATTCCTTATCTTCCTTCAAAATGAAAGATTTCACCCTAAAAGAAAGAATAGGAAGAAATGACATCCAGGGCCTTAATCAACACAGGTACAAGCAAGATGTCTGAACCAGAATTTAGAATCACAATAATAAGAATACTAGTTGGGGTTGAAAATAGATTAGAATCCTTTCTGCGGAGATAAAAGAAGTAAAAGCTAGTGCAATAAAGTGAAATAAAAAATGTTATAACTGAGCTGCAATCTCAAATAGATGCCATTGCATTAAGGATGGATGAAGCAGAGCAGTGAATCAGCGATATAGAGGACAAACTTATGGAGAATAATGAAGCAGAAAAAAAGAGGGAGACTAAGGAATTAGAGAAATCAGTGACTCATTATAAAGAAACAACATCACAACCATAGGAGTCCCAGAAGATGGAGAGGAAAAGGGGTAGAAGGGTTAAGTGAGCAAATCATAGCAGAGAACTTTCCTAACCCCAGGAAAGGCACAGACATCAAAATCCCATTTTTGTCACATTAGAATCAACAAAAACCAATCATCAAAAAGGAGTATCATAGTCAAACTCATCAAATACTCAGGTAAGGAAAGAATCATGAAAGCAGCAAGGGAGAAAAAGTCCTTAACCTACAAGGGAAGACAGATCAGATTTGCAGCAGACCTATTCACAGAAACTTGGCAGGCCAGAAAGGAGTAGCAGGATATATTCAATGTGCTGAATCAGAAAAATATGAAACTAAGTATGCTTTATCCAGCAAGGCTGTCATTCACAATAGAAGGAGAGATAAAAAGTTTCCCAGAAACAACAAAAATTAAAGGCATTTGTGACCTCTAAGCCAGCCCTGCAAGAAATTTTAAGGAGGACTCTGTGAGGGGAGGGGGAAAAAAAAAAGACCTGAGAACATCACCAGAAACTCCAGCTCTGCAGGTGACATAATGTCAATAAATTCATGTCTTTCAGTACTCAGTCTAAACGTCAATGGACTAAATGCTCCAATCAAAAGACATAGGGTAACAGAATGGATAAGAAAATAAGACCCATCTATATGCTGTTTACAAGAGACCCACATTAGACCTAAAGACACCTACAGATTGAAAGTAAGGGGATGGAGAACCATTTATTATGCTAATGGTTGACAAAAGAAAGCCAAAGTAGCCATACTTATATCAGACAATGTAGGCTTTAAAATAAAGATTGTAACAAGAGATGAAGAAGGGAACTATATCATAATTAAGGGGTCTATCCACCAAGGGGATCTAACAGTTGTAAACATTTATGCTCCAAATGTGCAGTACCCAAATATATAAATCAATTAATCGCAAACATAAAGAAACTTATTGATAATAATACCATAATAGGGGACTTCAACACCCCACTTACGGCAATGGGCAGATCATTTAAACAGAAAATCAAAAAGGAAACAATGGCTTTGAGTGACACACTGGACCAATGGACTTAACAAATATATTCAGAACATTTAATCCTAAAGCAGCAGAATATACATTCTT